TTACTCTTCTTTTAAATCTAAAGCCACTATACCAAGTTTCGTATATATAACTTGAAAAATGACGGAATTCCATACAAATTTTCAACCCCTATTTAAGCCTTTGGGGGGTGAAATTTTCGAAAACTGTTAAACACATACTTCTTTATTTTAAATCAATAGCTAAAAACTGAATTTCGTGAATATAATTTGGAAAATGACGGAAATTCGTACAAATATTCTACTCCTATTTAACCCCTCTGGCAATTCAATTTTCAAAAACTGTGAAATACATACTTATTTGTTTTTAATCGGAGGCAAAATACCAAGTTTCATATACATAAATTGAAAAATGATAGGACTTTTATACAAACTATCAACCCCTATTTTACCCCTTCGGGGATAAAATTCTAGATCTACAAGGGATAAAATAGAGGTTGATAGTTTGTATGATAAAGATCTAAAATAATTATCACTATTGTCGTACTATTTCTAAAACCATTATGATGGATATAGTAGACGTCTAAGGCTTTTTTTAAAAGCCGCCATTACCTGGCAGTATTTGATGAATTATGTATAATAATAGTCAATAAAACAGTCATTTTTAAATAAACCCTTTTGCATTTCATGCCCTCGTAAATTGACCACAAGTTCCACTAACTCAATCGAGAAGAACCTAAAAATTAACCTTAAAATTTTAATGCACTTGAATAGCATAAATTACTGCAAATTCTACAGGTTTCGGGAGCGCATGAAAAATTTGGCTTAATCAATTCATATTTTGACAGAAAACTTGCTCGCACTATTATTCTACTTAACCGAGTGAAATTATTAAATTATTACACATATCACGATCAATTTGAGATAATATTTGTCGTTTGTGTTCTGTCACTAATTTTTATAATAATTATAACATAGGTATATCAGGTAAAAAATACCTTTAAGATGCTTTAAAATTTAGTTACGAGTTACAGTCGCGTCGCAATCATGTGCAAATTCTATAGAAGTGGCACAAGAACTTCTTTATATCTGTTAGCACAGCATAAATAATCTTTATATATAAAAATTACGTGTCACGTTGTTTGTCCGCGATGACCTCTTAAACTACTGAACTGATTTCAATGAAAAATTTGCACATTATGTGCAGTTTGGTCCAACTTAAGAGATAAGATTAGGGGTTGCAATCCGGAAAAACGGATCCGGTAATCCGGCGGATCCGGCATCATTTAGCATTTAACATTTAGGATCAGGTACCAATATACCGGATCCGGTGCTTACAATTTTTGCCAAAATAATAGAGCTGTTGCATGAGTGGGTGCTTTAAATGGGTGGTAAAAGAGATTCAACCCTGTTAACGGCAGAAACAACACTAAAATTTGTTTTAGAGAAGTTGCTCACTCATGACACGGTGTTAAGTACTGAATTATACGAAGCACTACGTACTAGGATTGATTAAAGAACGCCGTACTGTAATAACAGGAATATTAATATAACATTAATAAAAATATGCTTACAGAATCCAAAGAAATATCATGAAAATGTAAACCGATCTAATGATACATTTACTATGCCAAAGAAAAAAATACATACGATTAGAAATGACAAAAATCTTAGAAAGAGTTATTCAAGATGATAACTCTAAAGAAAACATATAAAAAATAGTAGAATAGAACTTAGATTCACCATCACTAAAAAAATATTTGATATTACAGGAAGAATTACAATTACAAATCCAGCAAGAAACCACGTGTTAGCATACATACTAAAAAGAGAAAGATTTTGATAAAGTAGTAAAAAAGGAAATGACTATATTTGAATGTGACGGAGTTCGAGGAGAATACTTGTCTGCTATTCATGATTAATTGCCGACAAGTGTGGAAGCTGAAAGTGCCTTTTCGGGTGCAGGCTATATTTGCATCTCTATTAGAACGACTAGCAGATGATACAATTAACACTATTTGTTTTCTACGATCCTTTTTTCAAAATCTAAATTAATGTTCTTATAATATATAATGAATATTAAGATAATTATTATTTAAAATTCTACTTAAAATAATTATTTATCGTAAGTTGATTAAACTAAAGAGTTGTAATTATAATACAAACTCATTATTGTGATAATTGTGCCATTCATTTAGACAGATTCATCTAATCATGATGGTGACTGTCATAAATATAGGACTTGTTTGGTTAGCATTCTCAAATACTTTAATAATTATTGTGATCTCATCACATTAAATTAAGTAAGGTTAATTACATTAGGTTTTATAAAGTTACTTACTATAAAATAATTGATACCCGTGAAAGTGAAATCTAAGAAGACTGAGTTACTACTCGTTACGTCGTTAAAACTTTACTAGTTAGACTGCGTTCAAACTCGGGGGCACCTCGCTATTGTAGGTAATTATTTCACGCAGGTAGCAAGAGTGACAGAGGCCTGCTTATAGCTCCGAAAATCACATTTCACGCACCTTTGTATCGCTTTACACTTACCATGCAGCTATTGTACCGCTGCTGTAGCACTGAAGCCCGTATAAAGTGGGCCCTTTTCAGTGGTATAGAAGCGACTGAGAAGTTCTCTATCGCTACTGTAGCACTTGTAAGGAGGTAAAGCCATTACATATACCTGTTAAGCGGCTACTATAATAGCGCTTTGTTATACCACTTGTGTACTACTTCGGATGATTTCTCGGAACGGCAATTCCGTTCTTAATTTTATATAAAATTAATATAGTGAATTTTTTTTTTTAATATTATTAATAACGGATATCCGTGGAGTTTACAAACATTTTTCTTTAAGTTTAATGATGGGTGGTGGCAGTGGATTGGGATAAACTTCGTCAACACTACATCAGGACTCGTTACTTCAATTGTACCACCAAACTTCAAGACGCCTCGCCTTATTTATACTAGCTCAGTACAAAAAAGAGGCTACTCTTACAAACTCGTTTTTAAATCGTGTCCTGCTCCACACTACTGCTGATTCGGACGCTCAAAATTGCCTTATTGGAGTGTGACAAACAAAGTAACTGCACACAACAGATTCTTGCATCACTAATAAAAAGAACATACCTGTGCAATTTCTATTAATTTGTAATTTCTACGCCAGAGGAACTTTATTTGGAAATGCTAATGGACTAAAATAGTTTGCAGCGTTTTTTTTAACCGTCAAAGCATCAGACAAATTAAGGTATTTCATTTCAGCAACTTGTTCACAAAGTTTGAACTTTTAATGTCATAATCAAATCACAGAACACTTTTAATATGTTCTTCCATTGTTTATCTTTAAGCAAAAACTGATAGGATATTGAAAAGTAAGAAATTCGATTTTGTTAATCATTCAATTTACTAAGCTTTTTCTAACAGTAAAAATGCACAAGTAACATTTATATGGGTAAACCATTTTATTTTTTTAAATGTACAAGTAGGCCAAAGGAACCTAAAAGTAATATAATAAGGTAAATTATGGAATTACAGTAACAAAACAAATTATGCTCATTAAAAAAAGGCTCAGTTGGTAATTTCAGATACTGGCCTACGTGATTTAAGCACACAACGTTAATTTGTTACTTGTATATAGCGCAAGTTAAGGTTAATATTCACGCAGGTTAATACAAGTGATTCGCTTACAAAGTAAATTTTACAATTAAAATTTGTAACTGTTATGCGAAGTTGTGTGTAACATCAGCCTGATTAAAATTTAACAATCTCATAACTAATATTTTACATACAACCAAATTCAGATTTGATAGATTATCATTCAAATAGCACACGGTAAAAAATCTTAAAATTAGCAATGCTACTAACTTCACGTAGATCATCCACGAACCAATTGCAACTTCTGCATCTATTGCATATTATGCCATACTATGTGTAGGAATGCCATGTTATTTATTAACTCTCATGTGATTGTATTGTTGATATCGAAACAAAACTAAGACACACAGCATAGTAACATTCAATGGTAGAATTATATAGTGCATAAGAAATTTCATTAAACTTTCAAAGGTTTAACCATTCCTTAAACCATCAAATATACGATATAATTTATTTCATTTTTCCTTCATGCATGTTTGCATATCGCAACAAAATTTTCATAGACTGCATCAAACTACTAATTAACTTAATCAGAGAATTATATATCCTATAATATGATGATTATTTTCAATGTTTTGGAACTAATAATTAGCTAATACTCAATTATAATTAAACTAAAATATTTAGCGTCAGTCTAAAATGCGCAAAATATATATCAATTATAATAAAATAAAAAAATCTACTCGTAGCTTTTTGTAATTATAGAAATTGTACAATGTACATGTGCAATATAATAATATTATCCTTCCAATAAATTACATTTTCACATTATAAGTACAGCAAACAGATTACCACATGAGATGTGACAAACCAGCTGTCAATATATCATTATAAATGTTTGATAATGTATCAATTATTGTAGATGTGGTTTAGTATCCTGTGCAATTGACACATAAGACTAAATAATAAGCTTCAATTAATATTTTTGAATTGCTGTATTCCTTTTAAGTACGTAAAGTTCTGGTGGTCTAGGACTTAACATAAAATTTTTATTGGACTTTTATTACAAATAAGTAATTGTACAATGTTTTGCTCTTCTGCATTAATTTAAATTTTATTAAATCAAGGATATTTTTAATAGCATTCATAAAAGCGACAAATTCAAGTATTTATATAGTATCTAATATCTTTTTCGCTATAAAATAAATAAACATAAAATCGTCTGAAGAATCTATTTTGAAACAAATAAAGAATTATATAAGTAAAACTGGTCTTTGTTTACAAAATAATGTTACGATTTGTACCAGGCAGAGACAAAAAAAAATATTGAGCTAAAATTGTTTTTCCTTATTTTTTTTAACATAACTCAAAGATTTGTTTCTAAATCAATACGTCATTTATTAAAAACACACCCAAGTGAATTATTTAGTCTTATGTATATGAGTTACATTAGGTGAGTTGTGAAAGTTTAGTAAATAAGGCGGAATTTATTCTACGTCCATTTGTTCCTGGGATTGCTGCTGTGCCTGTTGCGCATCTTGGTTGGCAGCCGGCTGAGCATCCCCAGCTGTATTATTTGCTGGAGGAGGAGTTTTCTCCTTAGGTTTCGGCTTCGGCTTGTTCAGAATTGGGTTAACAAGGCCCTCAAAGTTCTGCAATATAAATATATAAGACATGATTTTTTTTAATACATTTTAATATGTAGAGAAAAGTCTATAGATAATATATCTCCATATTAAAATAAGGCAAATCCCATTTGGCTAAAACATCAATTTACAATAAATAAGTAAATATGAAGTTGTGTTTTATATGGTAATATTTCGATAATCGCACAGAAAAATCTATGTTAGATAATATTATCTACAGGTAAAAAAAATGTATCAATGTTATTACAAAAGTGTATTGTGTGTAAATGACCAAATGATCAACTTAAATGCTGGTGCAATTTGAAAATAATCGGACATGTGCACTCAAAGCCATTAGTTTAGGTGCCCTAAGCCCTAAGGTGTATAAGCGGTATAGAGTACTGGGAAACGTGTGTTTGTGTATCCACTCCAGGAGGGTGGGTTAAAGGAATTCTGATTACGTTATTATATATGTTATACTGTACCCCAAGTACAGTAAAACAGAAAATATAGCATATTTGAAAACCCAGTAGAAACACTGTCCGATCCGAAAGGGGCAGTCTAATATATAAAAATTAATGTTTGTTTGTTCACATTTTATGCGTTTCCATACCGTTCATCAGATTAGGTTAAACTTTGTCAACTTATTGCTGGTACTTGCGCGAAGGTTATAGGCATAGTACAATTAAATTACAGTAGGTGGCGTGAATATCGACCGACACATTTGACTGAAAGACATATCATTCAACTTTAATGAATGTATTATCCTAATTAAACAATATAACTCTTCCAAATTGAAAATGGTATTTCCACAATTGTTTCTTCTGCGGCAGCAACGTGCCGGGTGTCAGCTAGTATATTATAAAAATTATATTATTGTTATTTAAAATATATGTTTTTACTACTACAAATTGCTTAAATATCAACAAATTTTTAACATCTGGGAATACCGTCATTGGCGACTATGTGGCGATACTGTACTGTACTGGCTGGATTTATTGTTCCTGAAACTAAGAGACAGTCTGCTGTCAGGGTGTTTCCTTCCGAGGAGTTGCCAATTAAAAAATAAAATGAAGAGAGGTTGAAGCGTGGTAAAAAAGATGTTGGCCTCGTTCTTCGGAAGGACAGGTCATTACGCAACAATTGTTTTAAAGGATCGAAAAACAGTTACTGCAGAGTGATACACTTGTTTGCCACTTGTCTTGGAAAAAGTTCGGGAGGAACAACCTCGCAGTAGGATCCTCCTTCACCACGACAACGCCTCGTAGCACACCGCCAAGCAAACAATCGACTACTTTGCGACGTCAGACGTGTAATTACGGGGTCACCCACCCTATAGACTTGGCACCTTGCGATTTTTATTTATTTCCGAAAATAAAAGAAAAACTTTGAGGAAAACGTTTTATGGACGCCGAGAAAGCAGTGGTTGCGTTTCAAAATGCCGTCGAAGAGAACCCTACGGACGAGTGGGCAAAGCGCTTTTCTCAGTGGTTCCATCAGATGCAGCGATGTATTGATGTAAATGGACACTATTTTGAAAATATAAAACTAATAACTTGCTAGTTTTCAGTTTTTGATTTTCTAAGAACTTTCAGTGTCACCCTCGTAGGAAAGATATTTTTTTTATATTTTTCTGTTAACTATTATGACTTGACCTATCATCCGATTCCGGCTTGACGTCGAATTCTGGGACAGCCTGTGTTGTAACAAAATTGTAAGTAATAATAATCGGAGGAAAAAAGGTAGCGAATGTTGAGTATCTGCCTACAATACGATTGGATACCGTCAGACAACATACTTAATGGAATTGTAATAAAAGAGTACATAATTTGGAGTCCTAACAATTAAAAAAATTAAAAATGCAATCCAGTTAAAACAAAAACAACAGAACTTAACAAACCCCACCCAGCCATTGTCACACAAAACCTCCCTCGATGTCCCTAGCTCAAATAGGTGACGACACAATGGTTGCTCGCACAAACAACCACGCGCATTTTTAACGCATTCCCGAAATACCGATTGCTGTTCGAATGCCGCTTACTATAATGAAGACGGGCGAATATACACAAATATGCCCTCTAAGCAACCGTATGTGCCGATAGTTGCCGAATATGGACGATTGTGAAGAGGGTTCTTGTGTGTATGTCTGTATATATATGCAATATAATACAGTAAAAGTAATTAAATATATAATATTATTATATTAGAACATTGGTAAGCAAACCTGTCTTTCCTGCCGTATTTGGTGTGTCGTGTGTGGAGGCTGTTGATACCGAGGGGTGTGTGCAAGAGCTTGACGAGCATTTTCCAGCCAATTCAGTGCATTTTTAGATGCATCCACTACTTTATGTATATCAGCTTCTGCTAAATGAGAATACTTTTCATCGCCAGCTCTGTAAAAAAATTAAAAAATATATTAATTGTAATAAATATCTATGTATATATTATACATGCATACTTATATATACCATAGCAACTTCATACCTACGTATACAGTGTTATTTTGCAAAAAGTAGCCAAATTTTAAACTTAAGTTCAAATACATAAATAATAATATACTGTTATTGCAGTTTTTGAAAATACGAGTAAATAAAGTTTCTACTTTTATTTGAAATTATCTCAAATTTTATGTTATTTATGGGCAACAACTACGCGTACGCAACAATTCAATTCAGAATGTATTTGCCGACCGAGCAACCTTAAAATACCCATTACACAGTAGGTTTTGCTGTCAGTTTTACAACAATCATGGTTGTGATTGACGAATAAAAACGTGTAATGCGGTGGTTAGCGGTAGCATGAAATTTATTGACAAATATCTGGATATATTGATTTTTACATCAGTCAACTATCAGTCACGAATTTTGATTGAACGTGTAATGGCATTTCGTCAATCATGCATCGTTGCTCCCAGCTTTTCTTTGGGATTTATAGCTTTTCGCATAGATATATCTTGTTATTTTAGGTATAGTGTTACCAAGACCAGTAACTTATAAAGTCTCTTTTTGAAAGTTGCAAAAATAATTTGCATAGTCTTTATCCTCTTTTAAAACCCCCCGTATGTCAATAAGTTAATATAGATATAGAAATCCTTTTTTTAAAGCCAGTCTTTTACCCAGCGCCTTCTTTTTATACGTTTTTTATACAAAATTGCAATCAAAATTGCAGTACAGGCCTTTTTTTATGAATATCCATCCTTTCCCTCTGAAATTTTGGGTTTGACTGACGATCAGTCAGAATGAGCGTGTATTCGAAATAATTCTATCATTGAAACATCAATCATGATTGATCGAAGTGATTGACGCTTGCCTAGGCGTGTAATGGCCGCTTAACGAATGTGCGTGCATAGTAAAATAGTAGACAATCAGTTAAAATAATGCATTTTGAATTTAAAAGATAAAAAGGACATGCTGTTTGGGATTTTTTTTTAATTAAGTTTTCTTCACCAATTGGATATATTACTTACTCTGAACCTTCTTTGCAAATTTGGCCGGTTATTACAAATTACCTTGTGTATACAATAGCAAAGTCATTGTATGTGCCGCAAATATGATTGGTTAAATCGGTCAAACAATGAAGTGGCTACGAAGGAAAATATATGAATAAAGCAATTTATAGCCCAACCAGAAACACTAGTATAGATTTTGACGTTTATAAGGGCCTTGAACAAGGCTAAATTGAAGTTAGGACTGACTACTAATATTCCCACTATTTACAATACAATGTTTAAAAAATAGTCAGTAGCAGCAACCCCCACCAAGTGTTCAGATTTCAAGTTAGCAAAATCAAAAGCAAAATATCATAGTAAAATTACTCTGTATGTAAAGATAAGTCTTACCTGTATTGATCGACAGCTTTATTAGTTAATTGAATAGACAAAGCATAATCGTCTAAGGCGCCGGGGCGCAGTTCGAACTCCAGGCGTCGCTGCTTTATGGGTTCGCCTTCCGTCCGTAATTCTGATAATTTGTCACTATACACCTAAACAACAAAATCAATTTTCCATGGTACAGTGTATGCAAACCTTATGTGCCTTATGTACATAAGGTTTTCATTTTATATCTATACAAATAAATAAAATTGAAGTGTCTGTTTGTAATGTTAAAATAATTTTTGAAGCTTTTTACTGAATGCATATGAAAGTACATACAGAACTTATAATAAAATAATTTAAAATTTTTATCTATCTGTCTGTTTGTTTATTTGTTCCGGCTAATCTCCAAAACTGCTGGAGTGATTTTAACGGGACTTTCACTGGTTCATCTAATGTTATAAGGAGTAATTCAGGTTTTTTCTTTTTATTTTAGAAAAAGAATAAGGAAGACTACTAATTTTTTAATCCAAAATTATGCACTACATCAATATGCATAATTTTATATCTTAAAGTTAATTACTAGGTGATGCTGTAAGACATTAGGGCACACAAACAGATAATTTGTTTGCGTTGTATTGAAACCCAAGATCCTTATACTAAAATATGGAAGGAAATACAATATTATTTACCTGTCTATTCTGGTCCTCACCCTCATCATAGAGCCATTGCTCAAGCCCATCAAGTTGGTTTACAAGTCGGTGACGTTGTTCATCCGCAACAAAGTCGTGTAAAGTCTCTCCTTCAGAGAGCTTTCCGCGGAGTTCATACACATATTCTTCAAGTGCGTTACGAGCGTCAGCGCGTTCTTTCTCCTGTCTATCCTGTGCTTGCATTTTCCCCTGCACAATGAATATTAAAATCCTTTAACTTAAGCTTTCATAAAAACATTATCGCTAAGAATATTCAATGTGGAGAATTTCAAATATCATGTCAATCATATGGACAGCGTAACTAAAAGGTTGTGGGTTCAAATCTGCCATTCAACTAACGTCGCAAACGACTTAAAGGTTTCTTTTATGTTAAAAGAAATCTATAGTTTTCTGGACTCATAATGGGGAAGCAGAATATAATTGTCGTAATTACCTCTTGCTCCATGTATGTGTTGACATCTTGCTGTGAAAATCCATGGGTCCGAGAATCGATGGGCAGCTCTACTGTTTTCACAAGCACTTTCTTTGACTTCTCCTTAGATTTATCCTTTTTATCATCATTACTTTCCTGTAAGCAAAAAGTACTGGTTCATAACTTTAAAATTAAGCATTCCCCACCATCGCTTCAGCTTGGAATAATTGTACCAATACAAATTTACATTAAGAATACAAGATCTAAAATTTATTTAGCAATTATTTATATCCAAGCGATGCGATGACCCATTTGCACCTAAATTAAAACCACCATAAGCAATAACAACCAATTATATCTAAGAACTTACATGTTCCAAGATTTCTGTTAGAAGAAAATCAGGAAAAATAAATCAATAATTGCGGGAGTAACAAAAACATGCGTGGACACAGAGTAACGTCGCTGTACACTTCATTTAAAAAAAAACATGTATCTTCAAAAGGAATTAAAAGCCCTATGAGAATACCGTGCAAATGGGGCCTCATAGTGAGGGTGGGGACGATGCATAACTGTGATGTATGCTGCCTTTCTCAATTTTATAAAAAATGGACCATCCTCAAATACATCATGAATTAATGTTGGTAACTTTGTAAATATTTCCAGGAATGACAAAGTATAAAATAAATTAATTCAATTTTATTCATTCAAACATAATCTGGTATATATGAGTATCCCTTAGCAGGTAAATTATGCAAATTGGAAAGAATCACCTAAAACAGGTATTTAGTATGGCAGGCACTTTAGACATACAATACTTCTATTCTGTTTTGTAATCATATGGTAGTATTAACGGCAACAAACATCACAATCACTCCACAAACACTACCGAAACATACCCCGCTGAACCACTGTCCTACTCTCTGTGTCCACGATTGTTTTTGTTGCGGCTCCCCCTTCATTTCATCTTCTCTCACCTCTTGGTTATCGGGTCCATTTTGTTGTTGCTCTTGAGCACTACCATTAGTGTCCATTGGAGCCTCTTGGCTGTTCTGATTATTCTCATTAAAATTCTCCATATCTACATTTTCGCTTTGGGAAGAATCCTGTTTCTTCTCCACGAGCGATGCAGAGACAACCGTTATGATGCCATGGATGTTTACTCTAACTTTAAGTTTTACTTTCTGTGATTCTCCTTCCGGAGTTGGTTGAACATCTCGGATGTGCCATTGACCTAGTTTGACAAATAATCATTATTCACACATCTTTTTTTTTTCCTATTGAATAAGGGTGACAAACGAGCTCCACTTGATGGTAAGAGGATGCTGTGGCCCATATTACATCTACATAAATTCTCAATTAAGAGCCAAAATTCAGATGCATTGTCACCCCTGAGGACTAAGATGGAATGCCTCTTTCTAGTAAAAAGGGTCTACAGTTCTCAACGCTCACCATATGAAACACAGCAGCATTAAGCTGCTATTTTACGTTGGTATTCTGTGAGTGCGGGGTCCTACCCCGGTCGAGTTGACCCATTCGTGCTGCAACTACAATATAGCTGCAGCATGGCTCTACCACATTTAATATATATCTATTTGATGACAAAAAATACACAGTTAAAAACTTTTACACATTTAACTTACCAATAAAGGTGTCTGGATAGGGTACTTGGCCAGAGTAATAAGCACTAACTGAAAATGGTTCTTTTCTGTAGAAAGTCAACATCTTTGAAAATGGTGCAGCATGGAAAGGTGGGAAAATCTGTAATATCAAAATAACTGATATAATAGAGAGATTGTCAAAATACATTGCATATTTCACTTATAAACCATGAAGTTTTTGGTTTTAGTACATATTTATATATTACATTTCAAAACTAAGTCTTTATTATTAAATAATTTTATTCCAGGTCAATGTGAATCAAGGAATAGTGATCGAAAAAATAGATGAAATTAACTTCTGAATAAAATGTGCTATGAAATTGAAAAAAAGTTACAAATAATAAAACAATATGATTGGATTGGTTTTGATTAGGCAAAAAAATTGGTTACAGATTGTACCTCCATATCACCATCTTCACCACGAGCAGCATCCCATGCTAGATGCACAGCATAAGGTTGCACATCAGTAATGCTGAATTCACGCACACGAACAGCAGGGCTCAACATAGCACACTGGAGGGCTGCACCTCGTGCAACAGACTCGTCCTGAAATAAAAACGATTTTTATTTTATGTTAACTATCATGATATAATAAGGTCACAGTCTTGCTCCAAACATATGCTATGATATTTTCTCATTTAAATATGTATTTGATTTATTACACAAAATAAAAACTTGGTCAATTGTAATAAGTATTCCATGCCACCAGTCCTTTCAGATTTTAGTTTTAATTTAAGCAATATACCATTCTCGAGATTTTCTAAATCATATTAAATTCTTTTTCTTCTAGCTTCTGACACCAGTCATTATCTGGGAGGTGAGCCATAATTCCGATATATTATTTACGTGGTAGAGCCATGCTGTAGCTATACTATTGTTATATTCGACCAGGGAAACACCATGCTCTCACAGAATAGCAGCATAAAATACCAAGTTAACACAGCCGTGTTTCGTATGGTGAGTGTAGAAATCCAGAGACCCTTTTCACTGGAAACGATGCATTCCATCTTAGTCATAACGGGTGACAACACATGCATTTTGGTTTTTAAACTAGGATAGGCGTAGATGTCTATGGGCCACAGCCACATACCATCAGGTGGACTGCTATGTGCTAGTTTTTCACACTCACTCTATTAGAAAAAAAAATATTGAGTAATGCATGCATTCTTCCACACACCCATTATCAGCCCGTGACAATTACAATGTAGATTTTAATAAGGTTGATTTGAGGCAGCGGCATGTTGATCTAATGCTGCCCGCTGGGTGTGTGTTACCGACATGTTAATCTTTTGGGAGACTTGTTATAAGTCCATAGCTTAAAGTCCATACTTTTAGAGAATTGTATACTCATACTCTTTATTTAATCGCTTTTATATTCACATTCTTCTCCTTATTACTGATAATAATTAAAATATTTTGTCACATATATATATTCCTTCATTTATTATCAAGTTCACTGATATTAACTACATTACTTAGGGCGTTAAAGGTTGTAGCGAGAGGCGCGCGGCGGGAGCGAATTTTTCGAAAAATTTATCAAATCAAAACATTAAAATTCCCCGAATTAGAACTAGTAATGTGCCACTTTGTACTCGAATATTTTTAATAACATGATTTCTTTCGAAATAATTATAATATAATTATAGTATAAGAAGCGAAGATCCTTCGTATTCCTAACCCATATCACAGAATAAATAATAGTACTACGTACAGAAGTTACACTCCTTTGATGTTGACTACTTGCAGACGTTTTAATAGCCTACATAGTTATTATTAATCAGATAAATCCCGCACACAAGCTAAATAAAACTATCGCTGCGCGCGAGTGTCCGTATTACTTTACATCTGTTCTCATTTCTGCGTCACAACGGACTTTCCGTGGTTACTAAGGGCTGTTAATAAAGAGTAAGAAATACATACAAATTGTAAGTAAATTACTTAGGTAAAGTACCTATTCTGACTATGATCGACCATATTTCCGCGACTATATGAGTTCTGTGATAACCAAAGAATGCAATTTGCAAGGCCATGCGTCGGGGATCGCGATGCTTGGCTTTGTAAGACATAGGTAGATATGGTAAGTAATAAATAAACGCGAAATACGACTCCCTAACAGAAATGTGATCATTTTCTACTTAGTTAAAAATCTTGTAAACAAAGTTTTAATTTCAGTATTTTGTGTTATTATAACTTAAAATATTTTAATTACAAACGATAAGTATATGTAAGTAGGTACTTGGGTAGTGAAGTAAATTTTAACTAAGTTTTGTAATAAAGTACTTAGCTATACTTACTTCTGTAGTTACAATATTACTTAATTCTTTTTTCGCTATCAGTACCTATCTAACAAAAAATGCAATAAATTCATCTTTCTTTATCCTTCGGTAACTTAAAAAATTATACACTAATTATACACAACTTCACCTGATTCGTCGTGATGGAAACAAAGGCTTATGCTGGTAGGTTATTACTTATTACCTACCTAATTTTACTATGTTTTACCTATAACAGTATCAAAGGTATTCCGTTTAAAATATTGGATAGGGGGTTGATCGGAATAAATAAAACAGGTTAAAATTATACATTGGTTCTGTTTATTCCAACACCTCATTACGGATGTGCAACCGACAAATATTTACACCTTTATTATTGAGCTTTTTAATTTTATTTCGTTGAATTTAATGATATAATGAATTCTCATCCTTACACAATTAAAAATCTTGATTGAACAAATGGTTATTAGAATTAAATTTTACTTAAGACATTGTACAATCTTTCCCGATATTACAAAATAAAACCGAGTAATATCATGTTGATTGGTGAACACCCAACGCGTAAAACTAATTCCGTGTATGTGACACTTTTTTTTTATAAGATAAGGGTGACAAACGAGCACACAGTCCACCTGATGGTAAGTGGTTGCTGCGGCTCATATATATCTATATCTACATTTATCCTCTATTATAAATCAAAATGCAGATGCGTTGTCACCAGTGAGGACTAAGATGGAATGCCTCATTTCTAGTAAAGTGTATCCGGTTCTCTACATTCCCCGGTTGAGCCAACTCATTGGTGCTACAACTATACTATTAGCTGCAGCATGGCTCTACCACGTAAAACTCTGTACGCCCGTTTAGGAGTCAACGCAAGCGAAGCCAACCGGTACTACCGCAGACGTCGCGGGCAGGAGGGGACTTCGCTCTCCTTCATACTGCGTCCCATCGTTGTATTTATTACACATATGTAATTATCGCCTATATAATATTTACAAATACTTACATAATTAAAGTAATAACTTAAGTAGAATAACGCATATGCATCAGACTTGACGCATCACTATTCAATCGCTCTATGTATAAGTATCTACAGAACATCTGGTTACGCTTGGCGTAATGGACAATGAGCGATACGCGCGCTCTATAGCTTGCTTATTTATACTCTAAGGGCCACACTGTTTTATTTTGACAGATAGCTGAGTTGACAGATGTGTTTAAAATTTGTTGCAAGTTTGAGTAATTGCAATGCGCCGGCGCAATAAACTGAACTTGAGTTAATGCAAGGATTTTTTTTTAAATAATTTTAATTACCAATAAAATTAGTACATAGGTACGTATATGGTGCCATACCTGATTCAAAGTAGTAGAAGCGTGTTTTCCAAATACTTGTTCAATTAAACTTTTAACTGCAGGAATTCTGGTAGAGCCGCCCACAATTTCAACTGCATAAATATCCTCTGGTCGCAGTTCTTAAAAAAGTAAAGATATTAATTTATACCCTCTCATATAATGATGTGATATATGTAATATGTGATATGTTATAAATGATGATGGTATTGAGAAATTTGAAACCTTTGCCTAAAACTATTTGTCAATTTATTTAAATTGAACTAATATGAAATTGCCTACTCACTAGCATTATGTAAAATAGCTCTTAGAGTTCTTTCAACCCTTGTAAATGTTTCACTACAGAGCTGTTCCATTTGTGATCTCTGCATATCACCAGACACATCACGCTCCTCCATGAAGCATTCTATGTTAAGAGGCAAACGAGTGCTGTTTGCTGACATTTGCTTCTTCAATTTTTCAACTTCTTGCAACAGACGTAAAAAGGCCCTGTAATACACACACACACACACATATATATATATATATATATATATATATATATATATAAGTATATGCATTGTACATATAATAATGAACAAAAAATAATAACAAACAAGATTACTAATGTACCTCTGATTTTTCTTAGGATCTAATTTAAACCGTGTTACAAAATCTTGACAGAAATATTCAGCTAAAGCCATATCAATGTCTCTTCCACCACAGTATGGGTCAGTGGCAGTAGCTAGTACTCGAAGTTTACCTTTGTTAAAAGCACAAGCTGCTACCTGTCAAAAATATAACAAACAATTAGGCCAATTAGAAATGTTGATAAAACTCTTATATATGCAACTGTAAAATACACACCTGAAGTGATGTGTAACCAAAATCAACAAAAACAACATTTCGAGCCTTCTCTTCTGGAGCTGGTAGATCTTGCTTGTAAATACCATATGTAAGAGCAGTAGCGGTAGTTTCATTCATAAGACGCAAAACATTAAGCCCTGTAATGCAATATACCCAAACATACAGTTGTTAAGGAATGAGTAAATTAATTCATCTATTAATGTTTAAAAAAAATTGTAATTATTTAAAAATAAAAATGGGGTTGATTCAATATCCCGCAGCAGGAGAAAGGAGGTATGGTGGGGTGAGGGTTAGGGCGGGAACGCCTAAGACCACACTTTACGGTCAACAGTAACCTAAACCTTCGCTCATTATCACTAGTTTGCCTAGCATAGGTGTACAAGAACAACTTATTAAAAAATCAAAGGCCTAAACAATCTAAAATGTAAGCTATTCTACAACTCAAGAGCACGACAAGAGTAGAGCGTGTATTTACACACACTACTAAACATAACTGTGCATAGGGTTGCCAACCCCAAATTAAAAAAACTAGGATTTGAAGTTGGAAAAACCAGGACAATTCAGTTTAAAAACAGGACGCAGTAAAGGCTTTGTCAAACATAACTGCAAACCGAACCGAACAGACAACGTGGCGAATGTTTGTACTATGTATGCAAGTATCGGTTCGTTTTCGCTTTTTATATGTGACTAGATTCAAAAGATACCATAACACTAAAAAAACTAGGACATGTCCTGGGAAAACAGGACGGTTGGCAACCCTGTCTGTGCACAAACATTAACACATTTCTGTTCCAGGGACATGTGTATGCCTAACAGTACAAAATACACAGAAGTGAGGAATAGTCGTAGCCTCAGTCTACATGCCGGAGGAAGACACATCCCCCTCTTGAGCTCTTAAGGCTAGTGAATTTCTGCGAAAGGACTGGTTAGAAGTTGATCGAGACGGACTCATGATGGTGAATGGAAAAACCAAACAAACAAGCTAAGGTGTTAGTTGAATATCTCTTTAGCACTAACACAACCATTTTAAACACAGGTTCCAAGCCAACCTTCATAAAAAAACATAATATATAAACAGATAATCCTTACACTTGCACTTGCAACAGAAAGAGCAGTAAAACTAATCACGGGATGGCATGTGTCGAGAGGGGCTTCATGCTTAGATCATAGATGGATCTGTTTCGTACTACAGATCTATATCCACGCTACGCCACCATGGAGAAATCCCCGCAAGACAAAATAAAATACCTTAATATGCTTATGTTTCAATCGCTCTGATTGAGCTATCATGAGGCATGTCCAGAAATCACTCCACTAAGTCCTGAGGGCAATCAACCGTGATGGGGAAAAAGACTAGATACGAAACATAAGAAGGTAAGAAAAGACCTAAATAGGGCCATCAATACCCTCAATGGATGAAGACTGGTTATTATAGAAAGCTAAATCTGAATACAAAAAATTTATCAGGTATCGACGTTCGACAGGATGGCGTAAATTCTGTGGTAACATAGAAACCTGTAAACAAGCGAATCGGATCATAAAAATTCTAGCTAAACAGAACGCGCCGGGATCCATCTCTCTAAAGAAACTGTCAGATAACACCCAACACATCTTAACTGAAATGCACTTCTCAGGTTGCAATGTAACTCAGGGGGTGAACCGGCATGAACGTATAGTAATACCAACATCAGAAGACTGGAATTTAGTACAGAGAGTAGTAACATCCATGGATATAATAGAATGAATAAATAAAAACCCATTGGGCCATTCTATTTTCATTCATTTTCCTCCCACATAAGGCAGCAGGACCTAATGGCATTTTCCCAGCATTCCTAGAGTGGAGGCGGGTAAAGGCTTAATAGTTAGACTTGTTGCCAAAATGAGAGCATTTCTGCTTCCCCAATCAGGTAAGAGCAACTATACATTATTTTTTTCTAAAGACGGAAGTGTGTGAAAGGAATTTAAGGGAGTTGGCACTAATGAGCATGCCGCTGCCTACAGCTTAGAAAATTGACAGAATCGGCACTGCACCAGGTAATAACAAGGATTGAAGAGACCATCTAAAACAAAGAAATATAACATCTATGAAGGCTATGTCTAGGATAGACATAGCCTTCATAGATAAAGAAGGTGCTTTTGACAGAAGCTTCTCCAGCATAAAAGTCACACTAAGTATTAGAGTTAACCCATCACTGATTGACAGGATAGTAAACATGCTCAGTACACAAACAATAAAGATTGCTGGTGAATCTCAAGCAGTCCAAATAAAGAAAGACTGCAAATTAAATGCCAGTCACTTCTACACAAAAAGTTAAGCAGATGACCTGAAAATACTGGTCTCTGGAAAGAGAGCAAGCTTGGTGTGCAACCTGACCCTAGTCTTTTCAGTACTTTTAACTCCAGCTATCCGGTAATTGTATCCCAATAGCAATTACTGGAATATCGTGCAGTGAGAAATAAGGCTAGTATAACTATCTGGCAATGCAGAAACATGATTAGCAAATGATGGGGTCTGACGCCAAAATAATACTCTAGCTATACAAAACTGTAATTCGGCCCATGATTACATATGGCGCTCTGGTATGGTGGAACAAAACAAATGAAGTCACCACTATAAAGAAGCTTCAGCGTTATGAGAGACTGGCATGTATGGCTGCCATAGGCTACATAAGGACTACACTAACAGCAGCCTTAGAGGCAATGCTGGAGCTAACCTGCTTCACCTACACATACAACAAGAAGCGACTTTAGCTGCCATTAGACTCAAGATCTTTGGAGTAAGTGTAGAGTCCCTCATACAGGTATAATTGATAGAATTTACACAAAATTTCCTATCTTACAAGTCAAATATAAGATCCCCAAACTATTTGTGTTTCATAGAAAATATAAGATACAATTAAATGAAACCAACCAGCCAGAGGGATTAAACCCAAAAGAGCTTAGAATTTTCACAGATGGTTTTAAAACAAATGAAGGTAAACTTTCTCAGAAAAACTCAGTGTCCACATATTACTCTAATAAATCGGAGCATCTTAATGTATTTTATAAATAGCATTATGATTGAAGGTTCAATTAAAGCACACTTGGCTAAGCTTTCCATTGATTTCCGTCGAGTTGGGTGTTGATACGCATTTTTACAGAAAAGTTACACTATTATAAGCACACACACAAAGTTTCAACACGCGGAAACGCGTAATTTTTGAGAAAAGAATTATTGAAAATCAATTATTCTTGCAATGTTTATGTCTAATCCTACAGTATAACTGGCGCCATTTTGTAATGTCAATGTCGACGTCAATAGGAATGTCGATTCTTTCCGAAAAAGGTCGATTTTTAAATCGATTCAAATCGTAAGCTGATGTATCGGTTCACAAAAATCGATTTCTAAAACATCTATATTTTTTTAATGTTTCTATTTATATTGTAAATATAAACCCATTATATGAAAAACAAGAAAGATACCATGATAAATGATCTCTTATTGAAATTTGTTTTATTTAACAGTACCTATTAGGGCAGATGATAACAAATAAAATAGGTTAGGTTCAACTTATGTCAAAGAACCGAATTGATTGACCCCGACTCCACCTGGTATGAGTCTGTCCTACCCCTAGAGTGGTTTTATAGAGCCGGAGGCGCGTAAGGGGAGCAGCCTCCGCCTACTGTAACAAATCATAGGCATCGGATGAGCCGGAGCGGCTAAGGCTGGTCGCCGAAGGCGACGAACAAGCCGAAGCTGCGGAGGCGAGGAGGGTGATTTTTAGGGAATCGATACATCAGCTTACAATTCAAATATTTAAAAACTTGATCTTTTTCGGAAAGAATCGACATCCCTACTGACAATAATAATAAAAAATAGCGTCAGTTTCATAGTAGGTAGGAATTGACATAAATATTACAAAAATATTTGATTTTCAATACTTTTCTCTCAAAAAGTACATGTTTCCACATATTGAAACTTTGTGTGTGTGCTTATAAAAATGTAATCTTTCTGTAAAAATACATATCAACACCAAACTAGACAGATGTCAATGGAAAGTCGTACCTTCCCACATGATAGATGAAGAGATTAAAAAATAGATTGAGTTAAACAATTGATATTTTCAAAAGTTATTAGTTATTAGGTGGGTTTTTGTTATTAATGGGGTTTTTGTAATTAAAAAGTGCATTCAATTATGCCTTTTCTATTGTAATCCACAAAAATATTAACTGACACCCAAGTGATGTTTTTAAAATTTTAGTAGCAATGAATGGGTTGAAGAACTTTCTATTATTTGTTGAAGGTACAATGTCTATCATTTCTTAATTTACTAATTAATAAGCTTCTTTAGTGTCTGTAACAAAAAAATCTAATATTTTTTAATCTCAGACACTAAAGAAGCTCTAGTTTAAAATTTAAAGAAAGGCTGTAATACAAAAATGATACTCTAATTATAAGTAGAATGTTTAATATAAGTTAATTTTAATAATTGTTTTATTATGTCCAATTCTCTCCCTTGCCCAATGTATATCGATATTGTTAACCAGGCAGTAAGTTGTGAAGAGATAAATAAACTGAATTGAATTTACCCTGGCTTTTCAAAAAGTAACTAAATCTTTAAAAATTGACTTGCTGTCACATGAATGTGTGCATAAAAGGGACTAAAGTCAAAAGTCATAAGATATATGTTTAATCAAGAAATTGCAACTTTTCTTCTTGGCCGCATCCTCTATGGAAACAAAACCTCTTATCATAGAATGACCCATATAATATACAAAAATTTTAAGATTTTTAAACTTTTACCTTTATCACATATGAAAATCTTAACCATATGATGATAATGCAGTAATAATATTAAATTTTAAAATAAATTGAAGTAGTAACTCAACTACTTGTTACATTAAAAAAAAAAGTTCAACATATTTTATTTAATTTTACAGCTGCAAATTTATCCATTTAAATTTTTTTGTAGCATCATTAGTTAAAATAAATAAACAAGTCTCACCAGAAATTGCAGCAGCATCCAAAAGAGCATTCCTTTCAGCATTTGTAAAGTAACTTGGTACCGAAATTACACAATCATTGATCTGTGTTTGTAATGCAGTAGCTGCAATATCTTTCAATTTAGTGAACAACATTGCAGTAATCTAAAAAAAATATGTAAAAAATTAATGATATCATTAATTAATTAAGTTGATACATAAAACTGCAGTTGCTTAAGTGTGTCAACTTTGAAACTTAAGAGCTCTTAGCAACTAAAAATTTCAAGGTCTTAAATGTCAATTGAACAGCCGCATTTATAACCTAATTTTAATTAAGATTCATTTTTAAATGGGTATTAAGGTATGTCATGATTAAATAATTAAAATAAAATTCATATGCAACTTAAACAAAATGAAGTACCTGTTCAGGACTAAATACATTGTCTTCACCAAGATAACTGACCCTAATACCAATTCCACCATCTCCCCTCTGTTCAACTCTGAATGGAAAATGTTTTAACTCTTTTTGAACATGTGGATCTGAAAATTTTCGACCCAAAAGCCTCTTGAATCCAAATACAGTATTCTTCATATTTGTTACCATTTGATTTTTTGCAGCCACTCCTATAATTCGATTCTTTGGTGAAAAGGCCACACATGATCTAAAATGGTAAAAGTAAGCCTTTATCAAATACACACAATATTAAATTGAAAAAAATCTGATAGAGATACAAACTTTGAAAACGACAAAAGGCTTAGTCATTGTGCTAATTTGAAGTGAAGATGTAAAGCTAAATAACAAAATGGTACAAATTTAAGACTGTAGTAACAAAATATGCATGAAATAAATGTGGCATTATCGTATATTTCAATATATAGAAATGAAATTATGAGTATGGTTATTATCAGTCTCTTACATTGACCAAACAAAAATTCCAAGTTGTCAGAATAATATCCAAAAACGTGAAGAAATTAGTCGTAATGTAACTTTTATATCACAAGACAATTCCATCAAAAGTAAATAGTTTATAAAATATTACTTACGGAGTACCCCGAAGACTGTAATCGTTGGCTATTGTCTCAATGCCACCTGCTTTTGCTACAGCGATATAACATGATTCGTTACCAAAATCAATACCAATAACAGACATCGCTGCCATTTTCAGCACTGATCGCAGCTAAATCCTGGAAAATTTTTGTGTAACACGATTAATCACTTCCAACTAGCACGTTGTGTGAGAATGACAATCAGTCAATCAATCGCAAAAAGAACGCCGGTAATCGCCAGACACGGGCACGGGACAGAGAGCTACAGATACAGACAGAACACGACATGGAACTACCTACACTACCATACACTACCTACTTTACTCTCTGACGAGGAGACACAAACATGAGGAAGCACCCGAATTTTCTAGAAGCACAGATAATCAAAGAATGTAAGTTCAATTTGAATTTATTCTGTACTGTGTAAATTTAGTTACCTGTTCCACCTGTTTCTGTTACTTTGTTATAATAGTTTCAGTAGCCTGTTCCAAAATAACAGTCTATTAATGTGAACTAGGTATGTTTAAACCACTGACTTAGAAGTATATCTCTATGGTTTAAGCTGTGTCATGTCTCCTTGTTTCACCTGGTACTATTTCTGTTACTGAGATACCTATACTTGGTATCGAATCAGGCGAGCTGAACCCGTCCGACTTCACCCGAGCCGAGACCGAGAGAAAGCCGCCATTACACTAAAATTGTCACTGGTCCAGTCAGCACTAGCAGTGTCCAGCATACCACAAGTGATTGTTTACGATTACGTTACGAGTAATTTAAATTATTGTAGTCATCGGTTTACTGTCCCAATGTTATCATGGCATCACCAAAATCATTAGTATGGACATATTTTACCAAAACAAACGAAACAACTGCAACAGTGGCACTAGCAGAACAATTTATATGAAGCTGTTCACACTTATCCGACACCGTAATCTTGTCGGCGCCGACAAGAAATGTCGAGTATTTTGCCAGCCCTCTGCGTCTGCAAAAAAAGATCGCGTAGAATCTCGTTCGCCTGTGAGTAAGTATGGTGTTGTTCACATTATGTCGGATGTTGGGACTGGCAACCCTCTATATCGCGGCGCGCATGCAGAGTTGTTGCATTTTTATTGTATCCAGCATATTGTGCGCCCGTTTGGAGTTTCGTAATAATGGAAAATTATTTATTTATTTATTTTTACCACTTACAACTATCATCATAAGTGTATTACCTAATACAATAGTGCAGTTACAAACTAAGAAACTAGACAAACATAAATAGGTATATTATGTACAACTTAAAGATATTTTACAATAAGCTTTGTGAATTCGTTCAGAGTACAGCTGAACAAATCAGTATGTTGTGAGACAACGTTTAGTGCACGCAGCGCGCCCGTCAAAGGCTATATGTGTAATGATAATATAAATCCTGAAGATTTGATCACTCAAGTTCAGGAAAGAGGTGTTCTTTGGGGCAAAAAATTCTTTCTTTTCATGGCTTTTACTTTGTTTTCTTCTAAAATAATACATCACAACAAAATCTTCGTCTACGTCCATCGTGTATAGTCGTCTCGTATAGACTGCCATAAAATGGCTCCAGCTCCAATCGGGTCCGACAATTGACTAATATGAATGTGAAAAGATGCGCCGACAACCGATTAAAATATGGCGCCCAACACACGGCGTCCGTCGAAGTTTAGTGTCATTAAAGTGGATGGAGAGTAGTGGACTGTATTTGGTATTTTAACTGGCGGTGTGAGGTTAGCTATACTAGGGGACTGCTCGAAGAAAAGATGGTACTTTTAATTATACTATATTCACTATTTACAAAGGTTCGGCACTATTAACTAATCACTATACAAAAGGGAGGTCTTCAGTATGGAGTCTTCTGTCTTGATTCTTCCTTGTCTTCTCGAGTGCCGCTTCCGAATGAAACCGAATGAACCCGAATGAACAACGACCGTCCGAGGCGCCCTTCTTATATTTCCGAGAAGAGCGCTTCATTTCGTCGGGTTAGCCGCCCGATGGCAATTTTCGCCGCACGCGCGCTGATTGGCTGCCCGATATCGCGTGATCAGCGCCGGCGTGCGGGGTGCGCGGGACGTAACGGGGAACGAAGGGGCGACGGGGCGGCGGGTCTCTCGCTGTCCGTAACATTCTCCCCCCGGCGTAGCCTTGCGAGCCTAGGCTGCACTCGGGAGGACGGCGATCCTCCTGACCGGCCGCCGCAGCAATCCGCCCCTGGTCCTTACTTCAACGTTCCGTACCACGCCGTCTGGTCCGGGAAAGGTCCTCGTTACAACTCCTCTTGGCCACACGTTCCGCGGCATGGTCCCGTCTGCCACCACGACGAGGTCTCCTTCTTGTACCGGGCGCTGCTGCACGTCCCTTGAGTCTCCGCGCGCAACCAGCGTCGGCAGGTACTCCTTCACCCAGCGCTTCCAGTACTCGTCGGCAAGTCCCTGCGCCGCTCTCCACGCCCGACGATCATTAGGCGTGCACGGCGCGGTCACTGGAAGGCTCGATGGTCCCAGCAGCAAGAAGTGGTTGGGTGTCAATGCCTCTTCTTCGTCGATGTCGACCGGTACGTGCGTCAACGGTCGAGAGTTAACGGTGTTTTCGGCTTCTGTGAGGAGCGTCGCTAATGTCTCCTCCCGTGGGCTCTTCTGATTGAGTGTGGCTTCGAGCGCGGTCTTCACCGAGCGCACGAGACGCTCCCATGCGCCTCCCTGGTTCGGCGCACCCGGCGCGATGAACTTCCAATCCGTCCGCCGAGTCAACGCGTAGTCCTTCAGCAGGGGTGCCCACTCTTCCATCGCCCGTCGCAATTCGGTGTCCGCCCCATGAAAGTTTGTCCCGTTATCCGAGTAGATGACCCGTGGCCACCCACGCCTAGCCGCCATGCGCCGCAATGCCGATATCGCCGAGTCCGTCGTTAGGGAATAAACTATCTCTAAATGTACCGCGCGCGTCGTCAAACAAGTGAATAACGCTATCCACCGTTTTTCATGCCTACGTCCTATTGTTACCGTTATAGGCCCGAAATAGTCGATTCCGGTGTAGGTGAATGGTCGCGCGAATGCCCCTAACCGTTCAGGTGGTAGATCTCCGATAACCGCTGGCCGTGGTGTCGCCTTGCGTACCCTGCACCGCAGACATCTCCGCTCCACTTCTCGTACGGTCGGTCGTAGTCGAAGTATGTGATATCTCGTGCGTAGGTCGTTCACTACCCGTTCCCTGTTGGCGTGGCTTGCTTCCTTATGCGCCTTTTCCACAAGCAGCTTTACAAACTGGTGGCGTCCGTTCAGGATGATGGGCCTCTTCATTTGGCTGTCCACATTGGCTGCGTCAATCCGTCCTCTAGCTCGCAGTACGCCATCTTCGAATATGGGGTCGAGCTTCCTTAACGCGCTGCCGGTTGCCAAGTTCCTTCCTTTCTGCAGTCGACCGATGTCTTCAGCAAAACTCTCTTGTTGACTTCGCTCTATCCACATCCGCTCTGCTTTGTGGATGTGGTCCAATGTTAGTCCGTGCGCCTTTCCTCTCATGGCATCGACGAACTGTAATATCCGAGCGGTGGCCCTGACCAATCTCTTGTAAGAAGAGAACCTCTCGATGTCTGGCAGGTGTGGAGCGCCCCTGGTGTCGCTCTGGTGCGCCACGACTTCCTCCATCTCATAATCTTCATCCCCTGCCTTCTCTTCCCGTCGTCGAGGCCATCGATCTTCCTCTTCGTACAGGAATGGCGGTCCCGTAAACCATTTGTCGCTCTCTTCCTTGTACGTATAATTAATGCGCGTTGCCTGATCCGCGATGTTGTCTGCGGTCGGTATCCACCTCCATTGCTCGGGTGACGTCTTCTCCGATATTTCCCCTAATCTATGTGCTACGTATGGGGTGTAACGCGCCGTATCGTTTTGAATCCAATGGAGCGCCGTAGTGGAGTCTGTCCAATAAACTACCCTATCGGCTACCACTCTGTGCTCGCCTTGCACGAATTCCGCGAGTCGCGCGCCTATCAGATTCGCCTGCAATTCTAACCGTGGTATGCTTTGCGCCTTTATCGGGGCGACTTTCGCCTTGGCCGCCACTAATCGTACCTTAACCGTTCCGTCGCGGTATCGTAATCGCCAATACGCCGCGGATGCGTACGCACGTTCGCTTGCGTCGCTGAACACGTGGAGCTGACGCTCTACCACTCCCCCCGTAGGAGCATAGCACCTAGGCAGCCGCAGTCGTGATACTTCCTCGACGACTCGTAGCCACCTCTGGAATTCCTCAGCTGCCTCCTCGGGTAGTTCGTCGTCCCATCCGACCTTCTTCATCCGCCACAGGTCTTGCAGCAGGATCTTGGCGGTGATGGTGAGGTAGCTCAGCAGTCCAAGCGGGTCGAAGACCGACATGACTGCACTCAACGCCTCTCTCTTGGTCGGTGGCCTCTGCAGCGTCTTCACCTCGTTCGGTACCCGGTTCATGGATGTGTTGAACGTTAAGGCGTCTTCATTGGCCATCCATAATAGCCCTAGGGTTCTGCCTGGGCTGTCTTGTCTCAAGCCTACCTCCTTAGGCTTGCTCGCTAATAATTCCTCCGGCTTGTCTTCCAGTAGGGCTGCGTGGTTCGAATTCCAGCCCGCTAAGGTGAAGCCGGCCTGCTGGTGGACTTCCGTAACCTGCCTCGCAGTGTTCACCGCTTCCTCTACCGTAGCATAACTGTCTAGGTAGTCATCCATGTAGTGACTACGTACGATAGCGTTAAGTGCCAACGGATGTGTCTCAGCGTGTGCGCGCGCGTTATGATCCCTAACGCTATGTGCGAGAAACGGCGAGCTCCTCGCACCGAAAATCATTGAAGTCATAACGTATTCCCGCGGTGGGCTGGATCGCTCGTTACCTCGCCACAGAAATAATTGCGCGGGTTGGTCGCGACGGTCAATCTTAACGCGCAAAAACATTTCCCTAATGTCCGCTGACACGGCTATTTCGTTCTCCCTAAATCTGAACAGTATGCCCGGTAGGTTCCGTAACAAGTCGGGGCCGTCAAGCAAATAATCGTTCAAACATTTACCGGACGCACGCGCTGCCGCGTCGAAAACCACTCTCGTCTTCCCAGGCTTGTTCGGGTTTCGTACTGCGA